GGWAACATGCCAGCAACCTACAGCACAACAAGACTCAACAACCTCGACTGTCAAATGAGACATTACGCGGGAGCCTACAATCGTGGCACGATCAGAATGATTGCACAACGGCTCAGTGACGATCTCTATCATGATGGTTCTTCTGCTCGGCTCGAGGTCGCAATCGAGTACGCCAATCGTCAATATCGCTCGGGCAAGTTCACAAAGGCAGGTGATGCGATCAGTCTGTTCAACCCAGATGAGTATGATGGCATCCCTCTCGACGACCTCACGATCAAGGGATTCTACATATTTATCATTCATCCTAACCTCAGAGCAGGCGGCTGTGACGGCAAACATAATGACTGCTTCTACGACTGTCTCAAAGCCGCATTCCCAGACAAGGTAACCAAGCACTTCAGCAAGCCATGGATCTTCAAGCGATTCTTCAAGTTGGAGCGCGATGCCAAGGTCCCACTCAATCTCAGATCAGAGATCGAGGACAAGCTCAAGATGTGCATCAATGTCAAAGGTGATTATTGCAAGACATCAACCAAAGAGTACGTCAGAGTGGTCAATCTCAAACTAACCAACGAACACTACACTCTAGACAAGGAGGGCGCCTTTGAGCCCAAGGGCATCATCCTCAAGCGATACAACGATGACAGAATACTGCCAGTCATGGCGTACAAGTGGGACGACGACAATGATCAAGTGCAGCTCTACGATGGCACAAACTACAGCACGATGAGCAAGGCAGCACTCATCGATGAGCTCAAGAAACAAAAGTTCGACGGCAAGTGTCGATACATCAAAGTAGAGGCTGCCAAGAAGAGGAAGAGCAAGAAGCCCATCAAGACGCTGGAGGAGACATGGTTGGACTTTATCAAAGATGCCGACGCACTCAAAGAAGGTACTGACGGCATCATCGACTTGTACTTTACAGGATCAAACATTAACAAGGCCGCCCTCAACCTATTTAGCAAGTACAACAAACATGTCATTCCAGATATCATCGAACAAGAGGAAGCCAAGTGGATAGCCAAGGCATCGAATGGACCATTGAGGTTCGCCGACACATACACTGGCCCTCTCTACAAGTATGACGTCTCTGGCATGTACGCCGCCATCATGAGAAGCAGCACCTTCTCAGTGCCCATCAAGAAAGGCGAGTTCCATCAACTGACCGACGAGGAGCTCAGCGCCAAGTCAGGCATCCCCTTTGGTATCTACAGGGCGATCATCAAAGGTGAGCACAGAGCATTCAGACCCAACGACAACAACTATTATACTCACTACGACCTCACCTTTGCGCAGGAGCTAGGACTCACATTCAACCTGATCAACGACAACAAGCACAATGCCTTGCTCTATCCTACTGGCAGAGTCAATGGCAACATGCTCTTCGGCAAGTTCATCGATCAGGTGCTGGACTGGAAGAAAGCAGATGTGCCACGTGCCAAGGAGCTCTATCAACGTCTCTGGGGCGCTCTCTCCAAGTACAACAAGTCAAAAGAGTATGTTAACATCAAGGCAGAGAAGAATGTTGTCGTCGACAAGGAGCTCGGCATCACTGACATTTACTTCAAAGCCAGTCTTCCAGAGAATCACTCGATCGACGCGATGAACATCACGCACAACGGCAACGTCATGGTCAAGTCAATCAACAACCTCGACATGTTTGACACGCCATTCGCTCGCATCATGCCATTCATCATCGCTCGTGGACGCAAGATGATTGGAACGATAATAAAGGACGACATTGACAGCATCAAGCGAGTGCACACTGACGGATTCGTCTCGACCAAGCCCTGGACTGAGAAGACAGGCAAAAAGTCATTGGACTACCCCAAGTTGGGCAAGGAGTGTGGAGACCTGCGCTACGAGGGCTACTGCCCCGACGCCATTGTCAAGAATATGGCCAAGGTCGAGGGAACATTCATTGTTTAAATAATGTTGGATAGGATATAATGGAGGAGTTCAG